CATTCCCAGCCGTGGCTGTATTTGTTGAAATGTAAGCTGCTTGCAAAAGCATCATCAGATAAAACCCTGGCACTTCTCAGCTCCTTTTGTTTGGTACCATCTCCACATGGAGGTGATGCTGCAGATACCACCAGGGAGTCACTGAATTCACACAGACAGCCCAGAGGTGCCCATCTATTTACCTTACTCTTGGTAGAAATAAACCCTAGCAACCTGGCATTGTGTTTTCTATTTTAAACCAGATCTTTAGGAGCAAAAAAAAAAAAAAAAAACCCACAAAAAAAACCCTAAAAAACCAGACAGTTGTGCAACATCACTGGCAAAGTCTGTGGCTCATTAGTAAAGAAAATACCCTGCTGCAGGTGCAGGGATGCTCCTGGAACAGAGCTCAGCATCCTGCAGGGCAGCTCGGGCACCAGAGGGGAAGGAAAAGCCCAGAAGCCCTGAAATCAACTGGGGACCTTCCCTGCAAAAGCCAAGTCTTGCCTCAGATCACCAGCACCACTTGCTCTACACATTTGCAATACATACTCAAGGCTTGCTTTAAAGAAATAATCAAATATTGGGATTCTGAGGTGCCAGGGTGAGAACTGCAGGAGGCAGCTGCTGCAGGAGCTGCAGCTCAGAGGTGCCCCTGGACAGGCTCCATCCAGGGCCACATCCCTTGGTGCTGGCCAGCCCTGGGCCAGCAGGACAAGCAGCATTGTTTGGGTGTTACACAAGAGCCAAAAGGATGACTCAGGCTGCCCTTATAGCCCTTCCCTGGGATCCAGAGCCAGGGCTGAGCAATCTGCTGCTCCCAGGGACACGGGGGCTCCAGGGACACCTCCTGCCCAGGTGAGACAGCCCTGGCACTGCTCCTGCAGCCAGAGCTGCTTGCAGGCACATTCTCAGACAAAACCTACTCTCATTTCATTTAAGGACAAGCAGTCATTACAACACTCCCAGGATTTCACCTTTCTCTAACGAGGAGCATCTCACTGGGAGCTCAGCACTCCAGATTGCAGGCAGCAGACTCTTCCACATCCATGCTCCAGCATCATCTGTTACATCCTGCACAATATTCCCCCAGCTCGGGCTCTGCAGGAGCAGCTCCTCTGTTTGCCCACAGCCTGGCAACACCAGGCTGCTCCTTCTGATTGTTTCAGGCTGCAAAAGCCCCAAGAAAAGCTTTGGATTCACTGTGTGCGTGCAGACTGGCCTCTGGGAAAGGAAACAGCCTTGGCTTTGGTATTTCCAGCATCTCAAATACTAAACTAGACACAGACAGATGTTAATTCTGCAGAATACCTATCTAAGTCAATCCCTGCCTGGTATCACCTCAATTCTGCCTTTTATATTGCACCTACAGTTAATTTTCTATTGGAGATGGAGCTGGCAGACACCTGACCCTCTCATTAAACACACACTTTCAGGTGAGACCCTCCAGGCACTATTACTCACTGGAATTAAACAGGTACACCAGGACTGGTGGTAAACATAAAAATAGCCCCAGCTCTGGGCACGCCGGGGAAGGCAGCAGCCTTCTGTGCACAGCAGCAAAATCAACTTAATCACAAATGACAACTTCTGAAAGCCTTTACTTTGGATTCATCCTTGGCATTTTTCTAGGCCAGCTTGAAAACAAAAGCTTTGTCTTCTTAAAATGCAATTGCCTGAGGCACCTCTAAAAAAAGTGACATAACTCAGGTTTGAAAAATGCCTCCTGGGTTTCAGATCCTCCTAAGAGCCTCTTTACTATTCAGCTTGATTCAGATTACCCAGATCAGCATGAACTCTGCAGATTTAGCCCCAGCTACCAGCACAGGTATAAAATGCACACATTTAGGATTATTTTTTTAAACTATATGATTAAAGCTCTACAGTTATGAAAAAAGAACTTGTTATTGATCTGAATGGTTGCTCCCTTCCTTTTCTCCAGCAGGTTTATAAACACTCTCTGATGACAGTTTATTCTGAATTCCACTCCGTTCAGTTTATTCCAGATTTTTTTTTCCCCCAGCCTGTTTTTCTTGCTGGATATTTTCAACCTTTCCATCACAAACCTCAAGCTGTGAGAAGAATGAGCAACTTGTTTTGGAATCACAATTTGAGCCTAAAATTTGATTCTTGTTTCTTCTCCCCTGCATAAACCTTTTTTATTTCAGTAATTTTACGAGCAGTGACTCTGCTTCTGCAAAGCCAGGAGCACAGCCCTGTGCCAGAAACTTAATGGGAGGGGGCAAGGAAGGAAGAGCTGCAATTTTCTGAGGCAGACACAGCTACTTCCAATGCCCACAATTAACACCTTGGATAAATCCACAGTACCTTTAGCATATCACAGATTTTTAGACCCATAGGCTGTTTTCTTTGAGCAGATACAAATTTATTGCTAGGTCTGAAAACTCCTTATGCAGCCACCAGTGAAGAACTTAAATCAAAAGGAGTTTTGTTGCTTTTACTGAATGATTTGGGACACAGAGAGCTGTAAGCTGTCTTGGTGATGGGAACACGTTAGAGTCTTTTTCTGAATGATCAAGTCCCATCACTTACTCCACATAAACTGTTCTCTGTCAAGAGCTTTTAATCCTCTCTTTTCAATCCCTAAATAAAACATCCTCCCCAAACTCACTGTCTATTATCAGCCATTTCTAAAGAAAGTGGTTCTTAAGAGACACGCCTCTTTCTGCTTTGCCGTTCTCCTGAAATCCATCTCCAACATCAGCCTGACAGAAGTGAAACAGCAGCAATCTTCCCCGGCTCAGAGAGCTGGAGGAGTGTCTGAACACCCTCCCCTCTCCAAGGAAGCTTTCACACACGGCCAAAACCACAGAAAGCCTTCCAGGAACGGCAGCAATAAACCTTGTGACAAGCTGTCAGCCAGAGCAGGCAGCCCAGGAAGATGCTCCAGGGTCACACATCTGAGGTTCTGTTCGTGGCACTGCTCCTCAGCTCCCACCCCTGCATCCCAGAGCTCACCTGGAAGCCAGGCTCACTCCCTGTCCTTTAGAACAGTGCAAAGAGCACAAATCCCAACAAACAGCAGAATACAGGGCAAAATGAGCATCCCAGAGCTGTACTTGGAAGCCAGGCTTCCTCCCTGTCCTTTAGAACAGTGCAAAGAGCACAAATCCCAACAAACAGCAGAATACAGGGCAAAATGAGCATCCCAGAGCTCACCTGGAAGCCAGGCTCCCTCCCTGTCCTTTAGAACAGTGCGAAGAGCCCAAATCCCAAAAAACAGCAGAATACAGGGCAAAATGAGCATCCCAGAGCTGACGTGGAAGTCAGGCTCCTTCCCTGTCCTTTAGAACAGTGCAAAGAGCACAAATCCCAACAAACAGCTGAATGAAGGACCGGGCAAAGGGAAAGCGCCCCCTTCCCCTTTGACTCCCGAAGGGGGCCCCAGAGCAGAGGCACCTGTGGGAGAGCTCAGCCCTCCTCCCGCAGCAGGGACAGTCCGGAGGGGCTGGGACACAGCCCAGCCCTGCTGGCCCGATGACACAGCCAAGGAAAACAGGTTCAGCCAGGGCACTGAGGTCCAGGGCCAATGCCAAGGGCTGGTGCTGGCCCTGCCAGCTCGGGGAGGGCGGCAGCAGGGTCCGACCTGCGCTGCCACCGCCGTCCCTCCCTGCCCGGCCTGCGCCCACCACACGGATTTACTGCTGGGGGAAGGACAGCAGGCCCCTCAAATGGAAATAAAAGGGTCTTTTCTTCTGGCCCTAAAAGTCAGCCCAAGCCAGCCGTGATGCCGCTGAGTTCAGTCTCCTCAAGAGCCTGAGCAGCCGCTGCGCTGAGGGCAGGCCCCCGAGGCGCACAGCACGGGCTGGCTCCCAGCCCTTCCCCATGCCAAAACCATGGGAGAAATACACTCAGAAGTGGTGGAGTCACCATCCCTGGAGGCATTTAAAAGAGGTGTAGAAGTGGAACTTGGGGACATGGTTTAGTGGTGGGCTTGGCAGTGCTGGACTCGATCTTAGTGGGCTTTTCCAACCTAAGTAATTCTGGGATTCTGTGTTGAAACACTGCAGTACAACTGCGATGGGCTGTTCCTGCAGGTGGGCTCTTGCTCTTCAGGAGCAAGTCAGAAAATAAAGGTGCACATCCACCCCGCTGTCCATCCCGGCAGTTCGTGTCTCTGCTGTGCAAAGGGAATCAGCCGCCGGACACCCTGCCAAAGCACGGCCAGATCTGACTGTTTCACACTCACCAAAGCTGCTCTGGAACAAGAGCCGGAGTTTCATACATCACCTCAAATCAACAGAATCATTAAGGTTGAAAAAGATCTCCAAAATCATCAGGTTCCCACCTCTGACCGAGTCCCCCCGTGCCAACTAAAACCGTACGGCCGTGTCACATCTGCTCATTTTTAACATTCCTAAGGATGGTGACTCCACCACTTCCCTGGGGAGCTTGTTCCTAAATACAACTCCCGACAGACACCAGCAGCCCCGACATAATCGCGACAGAGGAGCTCCGGCGGTGCTGGCACCGCGCGCTGGAGCCCGCAGGGCTCCGCTCGGACCCGCGGGGAGCGGCGCGGCTCAGCGCCGCTCGGGCTCGATATTCCGCCTGTTTTCTCGCTACGAAGCCGCTCCCGGCCTCCCGAGGCCCCGCTGGCAGAGCGGCCGAGCATCTCCGGTCTGCAGGAGGCACAAAGTACCCCACGACCGGGCGGTGACACCGCGGACATCCCTGCCAAGCGCCCGGGACCCGCGCAGGGCTCAGCCCCGGAGCCATCGCCACCCCGGCGGGGTCGGACCCACCCGGCAGCCGCTTCCAGGCGCGGCACTTCCCCATCCCGTAAAACGGGGAAAACGTGCATCAGCAGCGGAAAAACCTAACCACACGCAAGAAAACCGATCGGCAAAGTGAAGATTGAGAAGGAAAAAAAATAATAAAGCAGCACTAAGTCACTGTGCCACTAGCAAGGGGAACCTGCGCTACCAGCACGGACCGCACGCTCCGGCTGGCGGGAGCGGCTCCCCGCAGCAGCCGGGGGAAGGGGCGGCAGCACTCACCGGGTAGTCGGTGCCGGGCAGGTCGGTGCCGTGCGGACGGAGGGCCCGGCCCGTCCCGCCTCGCCCGCGGGAGCCGCCGGCTCAGTGCCGCGCACCGCCCCGCGCCGCGGCTCCTTCCCGCCGACCGTACCACGGCTCCAAGCCGGGGGGGACCCACGCGCCGCGGAGCGCCCACCCCTCCGCCCACCGCCCGCTCTCGCTGCTGCCGCGGCGCGGCCTGTACCGATCCGCCCTCACGGGGCCGTGCCGGGCAGGGCCGCGCCGCTGGTGCTCGGCCCGGGGCAGCGCCGCTCGCCGCGCACCGCCCGCTCCCTCCCGCTCCGCTGCCCGCGCGGTGGAAGAGTCCAGAGCGGGGCGGGCACGGGCGGGGCCGGGCGCGCGGGGCTGCTCCGGGCGCGGGTCCCCGTGAGGGAGCAGCGGGGCCGCCCCGGTGGGGCTCGGCTGCGCTCCGGGCTCTCGGTATCCGGGGTCCTGGCCCCGCAGCGCGGCCCGGGAGCTGCGGAGCAGCCGCTCCCAGCGCTCGCAGCGGCACCGCTCGCTCTTTGCCTACACCCGGTTCACCGGAGCCTCAGCCGAAGTTCGTACCCGCGGCGTCCCCGCCGAGCGCGCAGCGGAGCCGCGGGTCCAGCGCGGAGCTCCGGCCCGGCCGCTCTTCCCCCAGAGGCCCTCGGTAACAGCGCGATGCTCAGCTCGGCTGCTCCGTTCTGTGTCCGCCTGCTCCTGGCACTCACCGGGAAGAAAGCGGTTCCCTTGGGAAAATGATGTTTCCTGACCGAAATTACCGTCCGGCATTTCGCCGCTGTCTAAAGGCGTGGGAAGGCCGGGCTGAGAGCCCCGGCGCTAGAGGGACCGGCACACGCGGAGCTGTGCAGGGACAGCATCGCTTGGAGGTGGCACACGGGTTCCACGGCTCACGGCAGCGGGGTTCGGGTGACATCAATGCAAATAATTTCAGGCAGCTGCTCTCAACAGCGTGCAAGGAAGGGCAGGAGCTCAGCAGCAGGAGCGAGCCATCAGAGAGGCATAAATCACAATCGCCGTCAAGTCCAACCATTATCCCAGCCTGCCAAGCTCACCACTAACCTATGTCCCCAAGTGCCACATCCTCACAGCTTTTAAACCCCCCTGGGCAGCTGTACCGGGGCTGGACAACCGTTTCAGTGAAGAAATTTATTCCTGGTACATGCCTGGAATAGTGCAACAGCACAAATCAATCAAGGCAAATCCCCCACAAGTTTTCCCTACTGATCCCAACAGAATTATAGTGGTATTTAAGTGATCAATTACACAAAACTACCTGACACAGTGCTGGTTGCTGATGGGACTGGTGGGAGAGTTGAGGTGCTCAGAAGATACCTCTGAAGGCTGGGTAAAGACCCCTCAGTAAGGTGAACTCTCCTGTCAGCATCAAGATGTCTCTGGCTGTGAGCTGGAGGCAAGAACTTGGTACCTACCAACCCAAATGAGATCAATTAACTGGCTTTTTCAGCTTATTTTTTCTTGGGCAGCTCATGGCTGACAGAGGGCAGGGATTAGATTGGATATCAGGAAGAAATTCTCCCCTCTGAGGGTGGGCAGGCCCTGGCACAGGTGCCCAGAGCAGCTGGGGCTTCCCCTGGATCCCTGGAAGTGTCCAAGGCCAAGCTGGACAGGGCTTGGAGCAAGCTGGGACAGTGGAAGGTGTCCCTGCCCATGGCAGGGGGTGGAATGAGATGGCCTTTAAGGTCTATTCCAGCCCAACCCATTCCATTATTCCATGAAATCCCTTCTAAGCTCCAGTTTTTCACCTGCACCATGTGCTTTCCCTTGGCAGGGCTGAAAGCCACACCAGCTTCCTGGTGGAATGCCCTGTTTTCCCATGAAATCCAAATCCCCCAGTCTGACACAGGATGTTGCTGTCCCTCTCTCCTCAAAGAACAATGTCCTCCTTGGTTTGGCTTTCCATGATAAATCCCCCCTGAGAGTGAGATCACAGTAGGGCTGTGATCGGGGCATCAAAGTGCCTGTTCTGGCCATGGCATTTCCTGCTTTCCTTCCAAATTCTAATTCCCTTGGAGCTACACAACAACATTTCAGAATCATTTACTGATATTTTCCCAGGGCTGGAACATTCAGAGCTTTCACCAAAATTCTCACACCCACCAAAGCCCCAGGAATGTCTATAAACTTGTGCAGCAGCAGGTGCTTCTCTTATTAGTCCAGAATTAAGTTTTCATCAAGGCCTGATTTCTTTAGAGCCCTATTTATTATTGCTTAACAATCACTTGAAAGTCTATGGGTGGGAAGCAATACAAAAGCATCTTTCATTATTCATTAAGGACAAGCGATGCAGGGCTTTTGGAAGGGAATAGAAAGTACACAGGCTTTTCTGCATTTAAAACAATTATTTCTTATTAATAACCCTGCAGAAAGGTGCCCCGTGGAGATGTGCAGTTTGGGTGTTTTGAAGTTCAGTCTCTTGATCACAAAAAGAGTTTTTCTTCCCCTGTGACATTCCTCAGCAGAGATCCTGGGAAATGTTTTGTCATTTTTATTTTTAAAAAAATATTTAGGTGATTATTTTTGGGGGTGTCCCCCTCCTGGGATGGATAATTATGTAGTGATGATTGTGGAGATCAAGACGTGATCTCTGTGAGAGTCTGTCAGGAGAATAAAAAAGCTGCAGCTACAGAGCAAACCTGCAGCAGGATTGGGGAGCTACAAGATTCCAGGAGACCTCAGCTTGGAAGGGACATTGAGGGTCTCATTTTGAGGTGCATTTCTCAGGTCATTGCCATGGCTATTAGGGCATGGCCCAGCAAAGACCCCTGAGGGGTTTTGCCCCTTGTAACTGGCACCCAGGTAGAGCCGAAGCCATCCCTGCTCTCTCCTGCAGCCTTTACAAAGCCACCTGCACTGGGAGGTGCTGCCTTGGCATGCCAGGAGGAGACCACAGCCAAGCCCTTCCCAGCACAAGGCACTGGGGTGCTGTGGGCTTCCATGTGAGGAACCACAGAAGATGCTCCTCACCAGCCTTAGCCCAGGGAGAAGTGGACAGGGACCTCCAGCCTGCAGAGCTGAGGATGTGCTGATCCAAGTCCCTTGGTGTGCCCTGAACACTCACACACTGCTCTGAGGCTGAGGAACCACACTGAGCAATTCTGCTGAGGTCCCACTGGTGAGGAGGAGCTCCAGGGAATGGCCCAGCTCCTCTGGCTGTGCCTTCCCTGAGGATCTGTGCCTCCAATCCTGAATGGGTGTCCTTGAGGCTGCAGACTGGGAAATTCAGAAGGCCCTTGTCACCATCATATTTTCTAGAAAAATCTCTTTGCCCAGGATTTTGCTCCTGGGAAGCTGAGAAGCCTCAGAGAAAAATTAAAACAATAATTACCTGATCTGCTTCTCCTGTGTTTTGCTGCCTTGGAATGTGTTTGGACATTGTTTACCAACCTGTGGTTGTTTCATTGGTTTCATGTGAATTGTTTTGATTTAATGCCCAATCATGGCCAAGCTGTGTCAGGACTCTGGAAAGAGTCATGAGTTTTCATTATTATATTTTAGCCTTCTGTCTGTATCCTTTCTCTATTCTTTAGTATAGTTTAGTACAGCATTCTTTAATATAATATAGTATCTTAAAATTATAATTAACCTTCTAAGAGCATGGAGTCAGATTCTCAATTCCTCCTTCATCCTGGGGACCCAGGAAATACCACAGGAGCCCACCAGAGCATCCATGTGGTGGGGAACTGTTCCCAGAGTCCCACTGCCAGCAGAGCCTGGCTGTGCCTCAGATTCCCTCAGTTTGTCCCCTCCCTGCCACCTCCTGCCTCTGCCTCCCTGCTTGGAGAAATGGGGCAAGCCACACTGGAGCTGATGTCTGTGGAGACTTGGGGCCATGTGGGGCCTGGGGGTGCCAGCCCAGCTGGAAAGGGGAGAATGTGGGGTCCTGCCAGCCTGGGAGAGCCTGCAGGGGCCATCTGGGGATTGCTGAGCTCACTTGGTTTGTTCAGCTGGGGAAGAAAAGGCTGAGCTCAGACCTCATCAGGGGCTGCAGCTCCTCCCGAGGGCAGCTCTGATCTCTGCTCTGGGACAGGGACAGGGCATGGCTGGAGCTGGGACAGGCAGGCTCAGGCTGGGTACCAGGGAAAGGCTCTTCCCCAGAGGGTGCTGGCACTGCCCAGGCTGCCCAGGGAATGGGCACGGCCCCGAGGCTGCCAGAGCTGCAGGAGCTGCCAGGGATGCCCAGGCTGGGGCTGTTGGGGGGTCTGGGCAGGGCTGGGGCTGCCCTGGGTGATCCTGGGGGTCCCTCCCAGCTCAGGACATTCTATCCTGTGATTCCCTGGGAGCAGGGCTGAGGGCAGAGCCCCTTCCTGGGGAGCTCCCTGGGGCTGTGGTGCAGCTCCCAGAGCTCCTCTGAGGGGGTGCTGCCTGCTGAAATATCCCAAAAAAAGTGAGCTTGTGGTGCTGTGAGGTCCCCAGGATGAGGTGAGAGATGAGACTCCATGTTCTCAGAAGGCTGATTTATATTATATTATATTATATTATATTATATTATATTATATTATATTATATTATATTATATTATATTATATTATGTTATGTTATGTTATATTATATATATTCTAAAACTATACTAAAGAAAGAAAAAGGATACCTCAGAAGGCTTCACAAGAATGATAATGAAAGCTCGTAATTGACTCCTCAGAGTCTGACATAGCTGATGGTGATTGGTAATGAATTAAAAACAATTCACATGGAATCAATCAAAGATGCACCTGTTGGTAAATGATCTCCAGACCACATTCCCAAACAATCAAATAATTATTTTCATTCTTTTCTGAAGCCTCTCAACTTCCCCCCCCAAAAAAAAATCCTAGCAAAGAGATTTTCTGAAAAATATCATAGCAACATGAGTCCACCTGTGGGACCCTTCCCTGGCTCCTAATTGGATTGTGGGACCCTGAGAAGATGACAGGTCCTTTTTCTTCTTTTTATTGGCATGTTTGTCCTAGACACTGTGTGTGGCTGGATCCTTCAGACATTTAACTCTCTCACCCTTCCCATCACCCTG